CTAGATCTAAGTTCTTCTTGAAAATAGCCTTTAATATCAAATTAACATCTGCTCGATTCATCTATTCAATATTGCTATACTTTTACAAGCCGTAATTGTAAAACGTTAAAACAATTCAATAAGAAATTATCATGCAATACCAATAATCAATAATAGTCAATCATCAATGCATCAATTAACCAGATTGTAAAGGGCTTTCGCTACGTATTACAATCACACAATTAATTTACCGGTATTAAATCTCATCTCTCGAATCTCGACTTAACCATTTATAAATTAATCTGCCTATTGAAACTAGACCTAAACATCAACTCTCATCTCTCGAATCTCGAATCAATGTTGTCAAACTCATGCATAAAAGATAGGCCTAATCTAGTCACAGAGCATTTAATCAATCAATAGGAAATTAATCTAGCATTGACAATCAACAACAATAAATTACCCCTTCATATTATTTAAGGATCCCCATAAACCCTAGAAATAAAGCTACTCACACATATTAAAAACTAAACTAATCAAAGCAATAAAATAAGTCATGATGAAAGGAATAAAATAAACAACTAAGATTAAGAGAAGAGAAAATCGTTACCAAAATAAATATGGAATTAAGAGTAGATTAAGAACAAAGGTTTAGGAGAAAGAAATCTAAGAGAACAATTAAGAGAGTAAGGAAAGAGTAAAAAGAGAGAGAGGAAAGAGATCCTAAAATCGTATTACGGAGGAGTATTTATACTCCGTACAAATCCTAAACTAAAACAAACTAAAACTACGCTAATCGCTCCTAAGAAATATACGCGCCCGATCGGGCGCGCCTTTTTATCCCTAATACTAATCTCGCGCCCGGCCGGGCGCGTCACCGTGCGCCAGCCTTAGCTTCTCCCGCCCGGCCGGGCGCGCCTCTGGGCGCCAGCCTCTTTGGCCGGGCGGCTCACTTGGGCCACTGTTTGGACTACGATTGGGCTTCAATTCTTCGGGCCAATCTGGGTTTCCTCTTCCGGTCTTGAATACTCGGTCCAAATGCTCCGGTATCACCTATACCGAGCCCTTAATCACCGGTTCGATGGCTCTAACCGGCCCTAGGCTATAAAATCTGGTCGTGCTTCTCCAATGTTCGTGATTTCTCCAAAATATCTCGGGAAAATACTCCAAAAGCATAAATCCCTGCAAAAGTCAACCAAATCTACGAAAACACTAGAAAACACCAATTAGTAATAAAAGTGGCTCTAAAGAGCCAAAAACACTACTAATTATGACCAAGGGATGGGGGTAAAATACTATATAAAATAGACACATCAATGGGTTAGCATGGTGGGTTTTCAAACTATCCTTGATTTGCAGTTCACATTTGTTGACAGATACTTTTTGTCTAGCAGATAAGAAGGTGGGATCCCAAGACCCAAATGTTGCGCATTAGGGACGATTATGAGATAAAAAATAACAGATGAAATAGCAGGATGGGTATATGGCTTGCCATTTGGGGATTTCACTTTAAGAATTGAGAAGCCAAATGCAGGTGAATCCTTATCTAATTAATTGCATCTATAACTTATTTACAGAATCATTACATTTGTTAAATGTTTCATTGATTCATTTTCTAATAAGTCAATTACGGATTATAAATTATAAAGCATCATTAAGTTACAACATCCAAAATTATTTGCAGCATCACTAAATTATTTGCAACATAAGTAAATTATTTACAGCATCACTAAATTATTTACAGCATCTGAAAAGTATTATTTACAGCATTATTAAATTACTTGCAGCTGATCATAACATTATTTACAGCATCAATATATTATGTACAACATTATTTTTGTAAATTAAAATTTATATTCCCCTCATTGTGATAACAAATAGATGTAGGTGACAACGAGTACAAGAAATTGAAGAGCCCTTACTCTAACCAAGGGGGTATTGGTCATGGTATTGTTGAGAAAGATTTAAAAGAGAACATGCTCAACAAAGATCAGTTCATGCAGTCATTCATTTTGTTTGTATTTGGATGTATGATTTGTAAGACAATAAACAATTGGATTAGTCCTACTCTCTACTGGTTATTGAAAAACCGCTACTTAAAAGAGGCAAGAAAGTGGAACTGGGCACAGTACGTACTTGATTGGATGATCCACACAGTCGGTGAAACAGAAGCGGAGAAGGGTGGAGTGAAAGGATCTCTACTAGTTCTCATGGTAATAATTACCTGTGTTCACAGTTTACTTTAATACAATTGTTATGATGTGTTGATTAGTCCTTCCATGTACAGATTGCATACCTTAACAGGCTAAACGTTAATGGAAAGGGTCATTGATGGGACGTAAACGTTCCTAGGCTAGGGATGTGGGCCATATGGTAGCAGCAAGACATCGATAGAGCTATTGCAGCAGACACTGCAGAAGATGGGTCGTACGGTGTGGCAGAGGTTTGTGTTTTCTCTATACTTTTTCTATTTAGACTTTTTGTAATTGTAGCGTACTTACATAGTTACATAAATCTATGTATTTGAAGGTTGTCAGCAGAGAGGTTGTTTACGGTAAGGCATACCCCATTGGCTCCGTCGGGTGATATTCCGATGTGCTTGCAAATTCCACCAGGAACATCAACCGATGATGCATTTCAAACTACAGTAAAGATGAAAAGAGTTACTACCATGGCCAAACCCAAAGTTAGAGAGTTGAAAGACTACAAAGGCATTCACCGATTAATCTCAAGCGATGAGGTACATTCATTTCACATTATATTCTTTTTGTTTTATGTCGTTGAAAACTAAACCTTTTCTGTGTTTTGTAATTTTAAAAGGAGGATTATGGAGGACCTCAACCTTCAAGAAAAAAGTCAAAGTTGTATCTCCAACACAGGTATCAACCAAGACAAGTTCTAAGTCTACAGCGTCTCTTGACAAGATGCCAAAAGAGGTAAACAAACCTCAAGTGTTATAGTACAAGAATATATGCTTTATTTCATCATTATAGACTTAACACAATTATTATATAGTTTATTGAATTATTACAGACTTTACAAAATCGTAAACTATTGTTTTCAGGAATTAATCATTTTAGAATCAAAACTTATTAATAAAATTAATCTATTTAGACTTTATAGAATCATAACTTGTTAATAAAGATCATTTTAGCCTTTACGGAATCATAAAACTTATTAGTAATAACAATAATCATTCATAATAACATATTCATATCTAATTATTAGTAATCAGCTGTGTTACCGTGTTATAAGAATTGTTTAATATTTTTAACATTTGAAGATCAGTTATGTTTTTTTATTTTCTTCAAAACAATATGAAGGTCATTTCTAAATTAAAAGAATTAGAATCTATTATTTTAATTTACATATCATTTTAATATCCCATTTATCCACCTAATTTCTTAATTTAGGTATCAATTCCCAAAAAAAAGAAAAGAAGGGTGGATGATGATGAATCCACTGAAGAAGATGAATCTAGCGGTGACGAGGAATCAACAGAAGATGATGAAACCAACAGTGACGAGGAATCCACTAGTGACAAAGATGATGATGATGAAGATGAAGATGGTCCTAACAAAGGTGGTGACAAAGAAGAAGGTGATGATGGGAAGGGTGGGAAGGGGGATCCAGTGTCCGCTTCTACAAGAGCCCCTAAGAGTGTTTAGGAGGCTTCACCGTCCGCTTCTACTGGGAAAGCCCCTAAGAGTGGCAAACGGGCGTCTGTTTTAGATGCAATTGGTGATACTAAGCGACAAAAAAGAAAGCAGAATCCCCAAAAACTGACAAAGCTAATGATGTTAATGAGTCCACATATAGTGACATAGAAGAGATAGGTGACTCTGATCGACAAACTCCTATCAATCTATCATTGCAACACATGCTGACAAGAAGCTCGCAATAATAGCTCACCAAAAGTCAAACAGAAAAGAGTAAGTAGTCATGGCACTCTAATGTTTGTCATACTTAAGAATATTATACCTTTGACAAGTGCAAAATTAATGTTTTCATTCAAACAGGTTCAAGGATCAGGTATTGTACAGGTATTTGGAGTCAGAAGTGATCCGGCAGACCTTGTACAATGCACTAAAGCGGAATACTCAAATACCATTAGAGGTAAAAAGTTGATGTGATGCTTATCACGCCACATTACAACATACAAAGAATACCTAACACCTGTGTTCAATCCAATTTCAGATCATGGATGCATATGCGGCGAACACCAACTATCAGGCCTCTGGGGAACAAAAACTGGGGACTTATTTGGAATTTATGTTTTCAGACCATCATTTTTGGTATTTTTTAATGCCTAACTTAACTGTACAATATATGGTGTAGTAATAATTCAAATAACCTTCTAAGAAATTTGAGTGTAGTGCACGCTTCTGGAAGAGGAAATGAAGGGAGAACTTGTGGAAAAGTTAGTCAGCAATGAAGTTAAGTTCATCAATGAATTCTTCTTTGAAGAGAGCTATAAGCTGGAAAATAAGAAAAAGGTATTATATCTTCATTACTTATAATATTTATAGGATCATTATGTTGTTTATAGGCTTAACTTTTAGTTAGCATAATCATTATTTTCTGTATAAACTTCAAGCTTTACAATAAATATAAGATTGTTGAATATGGGGACTAACGCTTTATATGTGTTAATCATGATGACATCTAGCTGTACATGCTAGTGTGTGTGGATCATGGATGGTTCATCTATATCTTCCATATGGAACGTAAAAAAGTGTTCATAGTGGATTTCAATGACTTGAAGGAAGAAGATGATAAATAAGTAAAGAGATTTAGAATAATAGCAGAATTAAACAAAACTCCATTGATGACGACGAAGCTAAGCTTCAATTTTACAGAAGAAAATGGTGAAAGAGGAAAAGTAGAGAGAGAAAAACTTGGGAAAGAAGGTTCAGTAATTCAATGTAATGAATGGAATTACAGGTACAAAACATTTATATCGGCAATAAATGCAATAAGCTAAAAAACAGAAAATAGAATATAAGTTTGTTATAACAAACTTATTCTGATGTGACAGATGAGCTGGCAGCAGTAGTATTATCTCCAATACCCCCACTCAAGCTAGAGGGTGATTGAGAATCAATCAGTCCTAGATTGGAACTGACCTCAAAGTGTTGAGAATCAGGTAAAGACTTGGTGAACAAATCAGCAAGTTCATCAGCACTAGGAACATAAGACAATTCAATCAAGCCTTAAAAGACTTTCTCCCTAGTAAAATGGCAGTCAATTTCAATATGTTTAGTCCTCTCATGGAAGACTGGATTCTTGCCAATGTGTATTGCTGCCTAATTATCACAATTCAACCTTACAGGGAGAAGATCAGAAACTCCAATCTCTTACAAAAGCCTGACCAACCAAGCAATCTCAGAAGCTGCAGCTGCCATGGCTCTGTATTCTGCTTCTGAAGATGATTTAGAAGTAGTGCCCTGCTTCTTTAACTTCCAAGATATAAGAGAGGATCCTAGTAGCATGATGTATCCAGTGAGAGATCTTCTAGTATTGGGACAAGCAGCCCAATCTGAATCAGAGTAAGCCTGAAGGGTCAACTAAGGAGAAGCTTGTAGTAAAATACCTTGACCAACTGTGCCTGCCACATACCTCAAAACATGTTGCAAAGCAGCCATGTGTGGCAACCTTGGTTGCTGCATAAATTGACTCAAGGTTTGCACAACAAATGAAATATCAAGTCTAATATGTCTCAAGAAATTCAGTTTACCAACCAAACACCTGTAAAGAACTAGATCAGAACAAAAATCCCCTTCATCTTGATACGGCTTCAGAGTAAACTGGTAGAGGTGTCTTTGCTGATTTAGAGACATCCATATGAGACTCCTGTAGTAATTCTCTAGTAAAATTTCTCTGAGTAAAGATAATTCCCTGAGGAACATGAACCACTTCTATTCCAAGAAAGAAGTGCAATCTGCCTAAATCTTTGATTTTGAAAACATTATGCAATCAAATGTGTTTTCAAATCAAGAATTGTAGCAACATCACCACCAGTTATAATAATGTCATCCACATAAACTGCAACAATGGTGACAAAACCACCAGATTTCTTCAGAAACAAACAAGTATCATTTTTAGATTGAAGAAAACCCTTGGTCAGCAATTCTGATGTAAGCCTTGCAAACCATTTCCTAGAGGCCTGTTTCAGCCCATAGAGTGACCTTTTGAGTCTGCAAACCTTTCCATTTGGATTAGGAATGCCTTCTGGAACCCTCATAAAAATCTCCTCATCTAGATTACCATGCAAGAATGCATTGTTTATGTCAAGTTGATGAAGATCCCAATGTTGACTAGCATCCAAAGACAAAAGACACCTTATTGTAGCCATCTTAACTACAGGTGAAAAAGTTTCTTCAAAGTCAATTCTATACCTCTATGTAAACCCCTTAGCAACTAATCTTGCCTTAAGCCTTTCAACAGACCCATCAGCCTTAAGTTTAACCTTGAACACCCATTTGCACCCTATAGCTTTTTTACCCTTAGGAAGCTGCACCAAATCCCAAGTATCATTATCCATCAAAGCTTGAATCTCTTTCTGCATTGCAAAAACCCATTCTGGATTCTGAGAAGCCTCAAAATAGCTAACAGGTTCAGTAACCTTGTTAGTCTGGCAAATCAAAGCTCTATGAGGTGCTGGTAAATCATCAAACACTACTATATTACACCAATGATGAGCCTCACAAGCAACATAATTATTCCACCATGATGGTGGTTTGACAGGTTGGTAGATTGCCTTATAGGTGCCTGATTGATTTCTTCACTAGAAAGTGCAGAAGGAGAATGAGAAGTAGTGTCCTGTGACTGGTTGTCTTGGGAAGGAAGAGAAAAATTTTGTGAGGTTGGGCTATTTTGTGAAGGTGAGTTATTTTGTGAAGGTGGAATATTTGGTGGAGGTGTAAGAGGTAGATCTGTGTCTAGGATAAAAGGTTCTGGAACAAAAACATTTGTGTCTAGGTTAAAGGGTGTGAAAGCAGGTAAGAAAATGGGATTGGGGTTAATATCTTTCTGTGAAAAATGGAATGACAAGTGTTTTTCATGGAAAACTACATCCCTTGAAACAAAAACCCTTTTGGAATCAAGGTCACACAGTTTGTATGCCTTTTGGCTTGGTGGATACCTAATAAGAATACAAGGAACTGCCCTGGGATGAAATTTGGTTCTATGTGTCTTAAAAGTAGAGGCATAACACAAACAACTAAATACTCTCAAGTGATCTATGTTAGTTTTAATGTCAAATAACCTTTCATAAGGACTAAGAAAGCCAATAGAGCTTAAAGGCATCCTGTTAATAAGATGAGTAGCTGCAAGTAAACACTCACCCCAAAGAAACTCAGGCACATTAGATTGAAAATACAAAGCTCTTGCTATTTCCAGCAAGTGTCTGTGTTTTCTTTCCACCACAGCATTTTGCTGTGGTGTATCGTGCAACTCTTCTGATGTGTAATGCCATTTTCTGATAAAAAACCAAGATATCACCTTCACACAATTCTTTGGCATTGTCAGATCTAATACACTTGATTGTTTTATTGAACTGATTAGCAACAAGAATAGCAAAATTTTCAATGATCTTCACTGCATCAGATTTATTTCTCAAAAGAAAAGTCCATGTATTAATAGACATCTAAAATGGTCAAGAAAAGTGTATAGCCATCGTGAGTTGCCCTTTTATAAGGACCTAAAGTATCTATATGTAAGAGATCAAAACTAGCAGAACTCTTACTTGAACTAAGAGGAAAAGGTAATCTGGTTTGTTTAGCCTTGGGACATACTTGACAAATGCTATCATGTTCTATATTACAAGAAAACATGTTCTTAACATGATGCAGCTTATTGAATGGCATATGTCCAAGTCTTAAATGCCAAAGTTTGGCTTCTTCATAACTAGAAACAGAAATCATACCAGTCTTGACTGATTTTTTTGCTGCAAAAGCTCACCACCATCATTAACAGCATATAATCCAGACTCTAGCTTACCAAGAACCAAGGAAGAGTTCTTGTGAGGATCCTGAATCACACAGGTATCATGTGTGAACTTAATGTCACATCCTAGGTCCTTACACAACTTGTGTGAAGATATTAAATTGAATTGAAAATTAGGAACATGAAGAACATTTTTCAACTCAATTCCATTTTGAAATTTAACAATTCCAATATGTTCAACCACTACTTGTTTCCCATTTGCCACTGTGATTGTGTTTGGATATTTGGTGTGCTTATGATAACTATCAAATAGATCTAAATAAGAGCACATGTGATCTATAGCACCACTATCAATTATCCATTTAGTATTGAAACAAGTCAAGAGACAAGTATCTGCCACATAGGCTGAACCAGGAGTCTGTAGAAAATTCTGTGCACTTGCATTGCTTGTTCCAGCAGAATTAACTCCAGACTGAGAACCATCCTGATTCACCATCTGCAAAAAAGGATTATATTGTCCCATGGAAATATGAGCAGTCTCATAAGAACTTTCATGATCATTCTCTTCTTCTCCATATACAATAGCTGCAATCTTCTTCCCTTTGTACTTATTCTACCCAAAATTGGGTGGATAACCATGTAACTTGAAACACTTCTCTATTGTGTGCCCTGAAATCTTGCAATGATCACAAAATAATCCAGAATTCCTTCTTATACTTGGCACAAAACCAGTAGAACCAGAAGAAAAGTTAGGTCTCATTTGCCCTGTATTCTGAAATCTGAAATTCCCTGTAGGTCTAGGAGGAGAATTGTAAGAGGAATTGTATCTCCTTCCATCAGCTGCAAAAGCCATAGTACCAGAATCATCCACCATACTCACTTGTCTTTGTTTCTCCTCTTGCATCAGTAACCTATAAGCTACTAAAATAGTAGGGAGTGGCTGCATCATCAACAAATTTGTTCTCACACCAGCATACTTAGCATCCAACTTCATCAACAATTGCACCAATCTCTTTTCCTGTTGCTGTTTCAAAATTTTCTGAATCAAATTACAAGTGCAACCACTGCAAGTACATACAAGTAAAGGATTCACTCCACTAATATCATCCCAAAGTGCCTTGATCTTAGCAAAGAATTCAGCAACAGGAGCAAGACCTTGCATGAGCTCACTCAAGGATTGTTGCAAGGTATATAGTTGAGGACCAGAACTCTAAGAGTATCTTTCCTCAAGATCCTTCCAGATCTCTCTAGCTGAAAAGAAATACAGTATACTTCTAGCTATAGTACTGTCAACTGAATGAAGAAGATAGCCAGTGATCATTGCATTACAACGATCCCATGCCTGAACCTCAGGACCAGAAATCGGTCTCAACAATGTTCCATCAACGAAACACAATTTATTTTTAGCAGAAAATACTATAATCATACTAAGCCTCCATTCATTATATCCTTCACCAGAAAATTTCACAATAACCAGAGAATTGGTCGGATTCTCTGAAAGATGGATGAAATATACACTAGCAGGATCACTAGTAAGAACTAAATTGTTTGATTCAGGCATTTTAATTGAAGAAGTAGAGAAATGATTAATCGGCAAAATAACAAAATCATATCTCAAATTCGAATTGAATCAGCAGAATTCCAAGAAATCGCAATAAAATTCAAGAAACCTCAAGAGAAATCCGAGAAACAAAGATAAAACCACACTTAGAAGATCGATGCGAAGAGAACACGAACTTCAATTGAAAATCCAGAAAAACAACACTCAATCGGCAAAATTAACAAGTCAATTTCAGTATAAAACTAACCTGTACCTGCTCTGATACCATAAAGAGATTTAGAAGAATTGCATAATTGAACAAAACTCCATTGATGACTGACGAAGCTAAGCTTCAATTTTATAGAAGAAAATGGTGAAAGAGGAAAAGTAGAGAGAGAAAAACTTGGGAAAGAATTTTCTGTAATTCAATGTAATGAATGGAATTACAGGTAAAAAACATTTATATTAGCAATAAATGTAATAAGCTAAAAACATATAACATAATATAAGTTTGTTATAACAAACTTATTCTGATGTGGCAGATGAGCTGGCAGCAATAGTATTATCTCCAATAAGAAGAAACCCCAAGGCATGTGAAAAGGATCGATTAAATTATTGGTACGTAACTCGTATGTGCACATAATATAGACCCCCCAACTGAAGTTTTTTAAGAACATAGTGTCCTGATACCTGTCTTATGTATGAGTCAGATGAAGCACACTGCACACATTCTTCTTACAACAAAAGAGCCACTCCAAAATCCAAATGTTGAAACTTATGAGATTTTTAAGTGTCCTAACATCCAAAAGGAACAAGCAATATCAAAATCTGGCATGCTTTGCATTTTGTTCCTGGTAAGTACTTTAGAAGCAATGATATCGAGCCTACAGGTGATGATTAATACATAAACTTTGTTTATCTAACGGTAATAATATTTATGTTGTGCCAATTGCTAAAAAGATTGTCGAATTGCAGTTGTATGGGACGGGAAGGAATGACATTGTTTTCAGGAAGTTCATTGTGGAGATTACTAGTGTCACAAAGCAATCAAGAGAAGAAGGGTATAAATTCGAAATTGGATGTGTGATTCACCAGTTATGTAAGACTGCCTATGTGTGTTACTTAAGTTGTTTATTTTAGGTGCATCTAAAACATCTTATGTAGTTTATATATGTAATCATTATGACATTTTTGGAATCAGATTATTATTATGGAGTTAAAGTATGGCGTCAGAAAACATCTCATGTAGTTTAGTTATTTATGTAATCATTATGACATTTCTGGAATCAGATTATTATTATTATGGAGTTGAAGTATGGCGTCAGAAAATATCTCATGTAGTTTACTTATTTATGTAATCATTATGACATTTCTGGACAAAAATTAACACTAATGGAGTTATAATATGGCATCAGAATGAGATTAAATATATCATTTTATTTATAAAAGTAAACACTTAACTTGAAAAGAACTTACACCCTCAATAACGTAACTATAATAACTACAATACTTAAAACTATTGATGTTGTCAACCCCATCCTAGAGAGTTTCATTTTAGTCGCTTCGCACTTGGACAACTTTATACGTAATAATTCACTATCAACCCTCATTTCCGATATTTTGTCTCAGAGAAGCTTAATTTCAACTTTTAGATTGACCGCCTTGCAGTTCATTGCCATGCACTGCTCCTCCAATTGTGCCACTAGATCCCTTAGGCTTTGGGATTCATGTTGGTTTGCTTCTTCTTCCCAGCAAAATAATCCACAATTATCATCCTATCAAAGAATTTAAACATTTGGGTATATCATACTCCACAACACTTCATAAAACGAAATAAAGGGGAAATTAAGGGTACAGCCGGAAATTACCTTCCAATTCGGACATGAATAAAACTTGCGCCCTGCATTTTCAGTTTTTTGCACACTTGTACTTTGGCTAGTAGACTATGATTGCATACAACAACTTGTTCACCAACGTTCATGTTTCAAGTAGAGGATGAACATGATTCATTTTTTATTTTTTTATTTTTTTCCTCTACGACTGTCATCTTCACTAACAATACGAATTTGTTGGCATTCGCTCTCTACTACTTTATAGGTTTGACACGTGGACTACTTGTATTTTGAAATTAAAGCAATTAATACTATTATCGTTGGGTATATCATAAAATATTCAATTTTAAAAACTACAAATATATCATATAACATAATTTAGTTTATAGGATCATTATAATTGTTATAGAATTAAAATTGTTTACTTTGAATCTGAAAAATACAAGTATTAGGTCCTTGGTACACCCGTTGATCAATTAGTTAGTGCATTAAATACTCTAAACATTGGTAAATGTAGAGTGCATATTTCAAAATAGTTACCATTAGTGACGTAACACTTACTTGTAGTACTGTAGGGAATAGTTTCAAGCCTTTAAAATCCCACTAGCTTGAACCCCACTGTGATCATACACTAAAGTACGGTGGCGTCCAAAAGGGAAGAAGATAGAGCAAAAGAGTCACCAACAAGTTTTTAAGGAACTTGTAAACCGTCACGAGGTGAAGGTTACACCCCTTAACGATCCAAGAGATCGTCAACTCCATAAGGTCATGAACCAAATAAGGGTTCGGGGATGAAGGTACAAATCAAACCTAAAAGATATTGAACCTGCCCTAATAATAGGCCTCTACTTTATTCTGCTCGTATTCATGTGCGCTTTCTGACTAACATACAATCAATAGATTTAACCCTAAACCTGTTTAATCTATGTTGGTTGAATTTAATGCACAAATAAACTATTATTGGCGATCACTTGAATTATAATCACAATTAACCTAACAAGGTTATTAATTATCTTATTAAGCGTGGTTGCAAATACCAATTCCCTTTAAACATACATAAAAGGTGATCAAGCAATAACAATATATAATATATATCAAGCAACATAATAAATAATCAACATCATTAATAATAATATTACTAATCATAATCATAATCATCATAATCATGTTAAAGCACAGCAAGATCCTAGGCATGATACTAACAAGATTAATAACAAACCCTAGCATGTCACTAAGCAATAAAAATCAAATCTTTAACCCGAACATGATACTAACAATCATAAATATTAGGAAGAATATAGGAAGCATCATTCTTTTAATCATACTTGATATTAAAATTACCCTAGACATGATATTAGGAATATCATAATAACAATCTAAGCATGATTTCTACATCATAATATCAATTAAACCATTAAAGTACTTACTTTAATGTCTCGTACCTCTTTCTAATAACAAAATACACACGTTAGTAACTTCAAGGAAAATAATAATCAAAGCAATTAAATTAAATAATTGAAAGAGAGATTTGGGACCAAACCCTCAGAAATTAAAACCTTTCACGTCTAGGGCGAAGGCAACTTCGAATATGGCTAGGTGTTTCTAGATCTAATGAATGCGGAATTATTTATTTGAGAAAAGGCTAGTTTAGAAAAAGAGAGAGAGAGAATAATCAAGAAAATATTGATGAGAGTTGGTCATTGATTAAGAGGAGATATGACCTCTATTTATAGGAAAAAAGAGATTCGAAGAATTAAGAAAAGAATCCAAATTCGAATCGAAATAAAACTCGTAGACAGCAGTTTTTGCGGATTTTGTTTTTATCATATCTTTTGATCCAGGAATCGGAATAAGATGAATAAGATGTCATTGAAAAGATCTTGAAGTCTACTTTCTAATCCAATTGGAATCAGATTAAAATATGTTGTAGAATAAAAGATATGAACGAAATAGTGAGACGGTGTTCAGTTTTGGATAGAGTTTGATATCTTATTTATATCTTTTTCGTTATATCTCGGAATTATTATTATAATATATCATTGGAAAGATAATTTCAAGGTCTATCCAACCATATAAAATATGGATAAAAAATATGAGGCACGAAAATAATATCTGACTGTCTTTGAACATGTTTAAATCCGAATAGAATTAGGACTTTAAAAAAGGAAAGTTTTATAAAAAAAGGAAAGTTTATATTTAAATCAAATTCCTTAATCTTATCTTTTCAAAAAAGGATAATTAAGATATTTTAGAAACTTACAGAAGATTCTAATCAATCCTAATTAGTTTAGGAATAGGATTAAACCTTTGAACCCTCCTCATGATCATTGGGTCGTAGGTAAAATCCGGTTTGGGCCCAGTTTAGTATTTTGGCCATAACTTCCTCATTATTCATCGAAATTGGGCTTATAATATATCGTTGGAAAGGTCTTTGCAAGCCCCATCCAAATACACCATTATTGGACCCTTATCATGGACCAAACTAAACTGGAATTGACGTTTTCATAAAATAGAGTGGGTTTTCGAAAACAGAAAGAAAGAATTTTAACAAAAACTAACCGCAACACTAGACTTTTCACACTTTCACCTCATTCGATTATGGTTCGACGTGAAAGGTACTCATCACCGGGTTTGGTTTTGGGGAGACACAAATGGGTGTCTACAAGTACCAAATACCTATTTATATTATAGGATAATTAATTGTAGTGTCAAATGCTTGTTTATAATAGACAAAACAAATTCATAATAGAAACACAAATTTAACTATTGATCATCATACAATACTGTTAA